TTGACTTCTCCAAGACAGAGCTTCTCTGCAAGCCATCCGGCTACCGTGAGAGATTCGTCCATGAGGCCGTCCACATGTGCAAACACAGAGAGGCAATTTCAACCGAGAAGATGGATCCTGGCTCAGTAATCATTGGAAGGGCGTGATCAACCATTTCGGGTCTTGATCGATTGTGTTCACGCCTACGGTGGCTTTCAGACCGCATTCCATTAGCTGGCATTGACTATATCGATTTTATATTATCTTCACGGATCGGAGTCTTTGCTCCGCTGCAAGTTTTCTGCTACCACTCTCCCACTGACATATTTCCTTGCTTCCTCTAAGTACCTTTGACGCGACGGTCAATGTTATGGTGCATGGTAGATTGTAAAATAATAAATAGTATAATAGCGTAATGAGACTGAAGTGCTCTGCAAAACCTTCTGATTTGTCCATGAAGCCATCCAGATACGTAAACGTAGACTTAACTTCAACCGAGTAGATGGATACACGTTGAGCAATCACTGGAAGGATGTTATTGAGCAGGTAAAACGTTAACCGTCTACGGTTTGTTCCATCAAATTTACCGGGCACGAGTCTACTATGCCGAGTTCATTGCATCCCCAGCGTTTGGCAGTACTGCTGCCACTGTTACTCTATTGTCTTTCATTGGCTCTGCTGCAGTGGGCCGGGGTGACGCCGTGCCTCCAATAACGGAGGAAGTAGCCGCACCCTGTGAGTGGGCGGGGCTGGTAGGGGGAGGGCGGGGCTAGTGGGGGGGGGGGAGGGCGGGGCTAGTGGGGGGAGGGTGGGGCTAGTGGGGGGACGAGGGCGGGGCTAGTGGGGGGAGGGCAGGGCTAGTGGGGGGAGGGCGGGGCTAGTGGGGGGGAGGGTGGGGCTAGTGGGGGGACGACACCGCTGGGGTTCTGCCGTGCCTCCGATAACGGAGGAAGTAGCCGCACCCTGTGAGTGGGCGGGGCAAGTGGGGGGAGGGCGGGGCTAGTGTGGGGAGGGCGGGGCTAGTGGGGAAGGGCGGGGCTAGTGGGGGGAGGGCGGGGCTAGTGGGGGGAGGACGGGGCTAGTGGGGGGAGGGCGGGGCTAGTGGGGGGACGACTCCGCCGTGTTGCTGCCGTGCCTCCGATAACGGAGGAAGTAGCCACACCTTGTGAGTGGGCGGGGCGAGTGGGGGGAGGGCGGGGCTAGTGTGGGGAGGGCGGGGCTAGTGGGGGGAGGGCGGGGCTAGTGGGGGGACGACTCCGCCGGGTTGCTGCCATGCCTCCAATAAGGAAGTAGCCGCACCCTGTGAGTGGGCGGGGCTGGTAGGGGGAGGGCGGGGCTAGTGGGGGGAGGGCGGGGCTAGTGGGGGGAGGGCGGGGCTAGTGGGGGGACGACTCCGCCGTGTTGCTGCCGTGCCTCCAATAAGGAAGTAGCCGCACCCTGTGAGTGGGCGGGGCTGGTAGGGGGAGGGCGGGGCTAGTGGGGGGGAGGGCGGGGCTAGTGGGGGGAGGGCGGGGCTAGTGGGGGGACGACTCTGCCGTGTTGCTGCCGCGCCTACGATAACGGAGGAAGTAGTCGCACCCTGTGAGTGGGCGGGGCAAGTGGGGGGAGGGCGGGGCTAGTGGGGGAGGGCGGGGCTAGTGGGGAAGGGCGGGGCTAGTGGGGGGAGGGCGGGGCTAGGAGGGGGAGGGCGGGGCTAGTGGGGGGACGACACCGCTGGGGTTCTGCCGTGCCTCCGATCATGGAGGAAGTTTCCACACCCTGTGAGTGGGCGGGGCAAGTGGGGGGAGGGCGGGGCTAGTGGGGGGAGGGCGGGGCTAGTGGGGGGACGACTCTGCCGTGTAGCCACACCCTGTGAGTGGGCGGGGCTAGTGGGGGGAGGAGGGCGGGGCTGGTAGGGGAGAGGGCGGGGCTAGTAGGGGAGAGGGCGGGGCTGGTAGGGGAGAGGGCGGGGCTGAGGCGCCGTGTGTGAGGAACGGCGATCCCTGAGCCTGAGACCGGACACGTGTGGACAAAGAGCTTCATGGCTCATCGGATTCCCCCCACGTGGGACTCTGAACTCGCCGGCGGACTGCCGCGGGAGGGTGGCGTCTGCTGTCTTGCGGGCTGTCCCCTAGGTGACATCATCAGGGCCGCCTTTGCCACGGGAACGGAAGGATGCCCTGGTTCATCGCCACGTAGAATGACGATAAAATAATAAATTGATAAAATAAAATGACGCGGTAACATTCTCACGGCGTTTCGGCCACTCAGGCGCTGTCCCACCAGACAGTCCAGTCCCTTCACCTGACGAAGGCCGCCCGCGTTGTGGCCGAAACGCCGTGAGAATATCGGCGTCGCGTCATTTGATCAATTCATCAATTCATCAATTCATCAATTTATTCTCTAATTCTACGTGGCGGTGACTTTACCGAAAGAGCCAAAGAGGACGAATCCTTTGCAGACACGAAAGCTTCAGATCGAGATGCCCTGGTTGTCTCCCCCCCCCCCTTCTGTGAGACTCCAAAGGGCCGCAACTACTGCGGGTGGCATCTCCCGCCTCCTCCTCCTCCTCAGTGTGAGGCCGGGAAAGGCCCTGGCTAGGGATATATTCGACAAGGCCCCCTTGCCAGGCACGCCGAGGAGAGGCTTGCGGGAGCCCCGATGCGATTTGAGGCCAGGGCGGTCCAGCACGGATGCCATATTCTCTGTCCATCCCGCCGCAGCAGAGGAGTGTAGGGACTTCCAGCAAGACCTACACCTCTGCTTTATTGACCTGGTCAAGGCCCTATGATACCATCAGTTAGGCCTGGGCTCTGGGTTGTTCTTCGTGCTTTTGGAGTACCTGACCCTCTGCTCGCGAGTGTAGGGAATTCCAGCAAGACCTACATCTCTGCTTTATTGACCTGGTCAAGGCCCTATGATACCATCAGTTGGGCCTGGGCTCTGGGTTGTTCTTCGTGCTTTTGGAGTACCTGACCCTCTGCTCGCGAGTGTAGGGAATTCCAGCAAGACCTACATCTCTGCTTTATTGACCTGGTCAAGGCCCTATGATACCATCAGTTGGGCCTGGGCTCTGGGTTGTTCTTCGTGCTTTTGGAGTACCTGACCCTCTGCTCACGAGTGTAGGGAATTTCCCAAACGGGACCTACATCTCTGCTTTATTGACCTGGTCAAGGCCCTATGATACCATCAGTTGGCCTGGGCTCTGGGTTGTTCTTCGTGCTTTTGGAGTACCTGACCCTCTGCTCACGAGTGCAGGGAATTTCCCAACGGGACCTACGTCTCCGCTTTATTGACCTGGTCAAGGCCCTATGATACCATCAGTTGGGCCTGGGCTCTGGGTCGTTCTTCGTGCTTTTGGAGTACCTGACCCTCTGCTCGCGAGTGTAGGGAATTTCCCAAACGGGACCTACGTCTCCGCTTTATTGACCTGGTCAAGGCCCTATGATACCATCAGTTGGGCCTGGGCTCTGGGTCGTTCTTCGTGCTTTTGGAGTACCTGACCCTCTGCTCGCGAGTGTAGGGAATTTCCCAACGGGACCTACGTCTCCGCTTTATTGACCTGGTCAAGGCCCTATGATACCATCAGTTGGGCCTGGGCTCTGGGTCGTTCTTCGTGCTTTTGGAGTACCTGACACTCTGCTCACGAGTGCAGGGAATTCCAGCAAGACCTACGTCTCTGCTTTATTGACCTGGTCAAGGCCCTATGATACCATCAGTTGGGCCTGGGCTCTGGGTCGTTCTTCGTGCTTTTGGAGTACCTGACCCTCTGCTCGCGAGTGTAGGGAATTTCCCAAACGGGACCTACATCTCTGCTTTATTGACCTGGTCAAGGCCCTATGATACCATCAGTTGGGCCTGGGCTCTGGGTCGTTCTTCGTGCTTTTGGAGTACCTGACCCTCTGCTCGCGAGTGTAGGGAATTTCCCAAACGGGACCTACGTCTCCGCTTTATTGACCTGGTCAAGGCCCTATGATACCATCAGTTGGGTCTGGGCTCTGGGTTGTTCTTCGTGCTTTTGGAGTACCTGACCCTCTGCTCGCGAGTGTAGGGAATTTCCCAAACGGGACCTACGTCTCCGCTTTATTGACCTCGTCAAAGGTCTGTGATGCCATCAGTAGGTCAGCGTGTCAGCGGGCAGTTCTTCACGGAAGGGGCCTCATTGAAGGGCTTCATGGTGATGATTATGGTGGTGATGATGGTTACGGTGTGACGATGGCGATGGTGGTGATGGCGGTGATGACGGCGGTGGTGATTGTGATGATGGCGGTGATGACGGTGGTGACGGTGGTGATTGTGATGGTGGCGGTGGTGGTGATAATGGTGGTGATGATGGCGGTGATGACGGTGGTGATGGTGGTGATGATGGTGGTGGTGGTGGTGATGATGATGTCTACCTGGGGCAGCTTTGTCTGTGTATAGGTGCTGCTGCTGCTCCTCGCTTACCAACAGCACTTGCCTCAACAGCCCTGTCAGAGGCCACCTGGGGGATCTTTGTCGTAAGTGCAGACGAGTCGCATTCAGCCCCATACCGATCCACCGCTCAACCCAACAAGTTCCATGCAACTTTATTATTGGAGTTCATCAGGCGGTCACGGTCGATGGTGATGGTGATGGTGGTGGTGATGGTGGTGGTGGTGATGGTGGTGGTGATGGTGATGGTGGTGGTGATGGTGATGGTGGTGGTGATGGTGGTGGTGGTGATGATGGTGGTGATGATGGTGGTGGTGGTGGCGATGGTAGTGGTGATGGTGGTGGTGATGGTAGTGGTGGTGATGATGGTGGTGGTGATGGTGGTGGTGGTGGTGATGATGGTGGTGATGGTGATGGTAGTGGTGGTGGTGATGATGATGATGATGGTGGTGGTGGCGATGATGGTTGTGGTGATAGAAGTGGCGGTAGTGGTGATGGTGGTGATGATGATGGTGGTGGTGATGATGGTGGTGGTGGTGATGATGGTGGTAGTGAGGATGACGGTAGTGGTGTTGATGATGATGATGGTGGTGATGATGGTGGTGATGGTGATGGTGGTGATGGTGATGATGTCATTGCCTCGCCAGAGTCCCTGTGAATGAGAGAGAACAAAATTCCCAGATCACACACAGACAAAGCTCCCCCGTGTAGCCTCTAACAGGGCTGTAGGGGCAAGTGCTGTTAGTAGCGAGTAGCAGCAGCACCTACACACAGACAAAGATCCCCCGTGTAGCCTCTAGCAGGGCTGTAGGGGCAAGTGCTGTTAGTAGCGAGTAGCAGCAGCGCCTATACACAGACAAAGATCCCCCGTGTAGCCTCTAACAGGGCTGTAGGGGCAAGTGCTGTTAGTAGCTAGTAGCAGCAATGGCGATGTTCACCGCCAGTTGACGCATTTGAGGCCGAGTCGACCTAGGGGAGTCCCAGGGACCGGTTTGAATAAATCGTCACCAGGTGGTGTTTAGCGTTACGGATGGACTTGGCTCTTCCCGCCATGGTAACGTGGAATTTCCGTAGATATGTGGGGGTTTTTTTTTGTGGGTGGGGGTGGTGGTGTGAATGTTTTAGTTGGTGCTGATTGTTGCCTGTCGCACCGTTACTGATTCGCGGTGTCGAATCGCTTCTTTCTGCCCTCCATCCCAGACATCGCCTCGATATTCTTCCTCCAATCACCGACCTCGGCATGCTTCTCCTGGGGGGGGGGGGACGTGGGGGGGGAGGAGGGGAGACGTGGGGGGAGACGTGGGGGGGAGGTGGGAGACGTGGGGGGGAGGGGGAGACGTGGGGAGGGGGAGGGGGGAGACGTGGGGGGGAGGGGGGAGGGGGGAGACGTGGGGGGGGAGGGGGGAGGGGGGGAGGGGGGAGGGGGGAGGGGGGAGACGTGGAGGGGAGGAGGGGGGAGACGTGGGGAGGGGGAGGGGGGAGACGTGGGGAGGGGGAGGGGGGAGACGTGGGGAGGAGGGGGGAGACGTGGGGGGAGGAGGGGGGAGACGTGGGGGGGATGGGGGGGAGGGGGGAGACGTGGGGAGGGGGGAGGGGGGGAGGGGGGTGACGAGGGGGGAGGGGGGAGACGAGGGGGGGAGACGTGGGGGGAGACGTGGGGGGGAGGGGGGAGGGGGGTGACGTGGGGGGGGGGGGGAGACGTTGGGAGGGGGGAGGGGGAGTGGGGGAGGGGGAGGAGGGGTGGGGGAGGGGGAGGAGGGTGATAGGGTAAAGTGAGTGAGCTCTTATAGAATCATAGTAAACAGTCTCTACCCCCCACAACGCTCCATCCCCTCCCCCCCTCCATCCCCCCCTCCATCCCCCCTCACCACTCCCCACCACCACTCCCCTCCCACCACTCCCCCCCACCACCTCCCCC